GGTCAGTTTTTTGACGATTGTGGTAAGAGCTGATCAATATGTTCGATCGATTTTTCTCATGAGCGTGCCTAGAGTGTTTACCGATGAGCGTGCATTCATGTATATACTATTATAGTTACGATATTCCCCTAATTTTTTTTGGATATCTTTTATCGAAGGGTAGGAATTCGAAATCCAACTATTTGCCATAGATGGTTTTGAATCAGTTTTCAATTCTTTGTCCAATAGTGTATTCAGTTTTGAACTTACTGCAAAGATTCATAGAGTTTTACTTATACCCCCTCTCAAAGACGCATTTTTTGCATCAAAATTTTAGGAATTTATGTCGCTCAGGGGGAATCCCCAGGGCCCGTTTTTACCGTGCCTTCAGTTAATAGCTAGTTACAATTCAGGTAGTGGAAGACTATAAATATTGGAATATATCCTTAACGTAGGCCTACTTACTTATAGAACCTAAAAATAACTATATTACCACGTCAGAAACTTCCCGTAGTTATCAGGTATGGCCAGTATGGAGATTATGGCAACGAATCTATCGGCCACATGGTCGAGCCGATGGCAACGAATCTATCGGCCACATGGTCGAGCCGATCCGCTGAAAGCTCCTCGAGCTGCCTCAGGCGGTCCCGGATCGTAACCCAACCTGACCACATCACGACGCTGTTCACACCAAGACCCACGCCAGGTTGGAGCGCAGCGCCAGAAATGTCGTTGGCCCCAATGAGCACAACAGCAGGGTCAGGCGGTCCCTGTGCGGTAGCAGCAGCAGTTATTTACGGCGTGGTACATGTTATTTCCGGAAGGCTCTTTAGTTGTGCAAGTTGTGCAATAAGTGAGTTGGCACATGAACATCCGTATCTCGAATCTGAAGTACCTCGTCGCTCACGATACCTCCTCAATAATCTATGAGAGCAACTCGAGTGTAAAATAATAAAAGCGCATTTCCCAGAAAGATAAGTACAGCCATGAAAGCGCATTTCCCAGAAAAATAAGAAATGCAAAGTACTCTACAAAAAACTAGCGTATATCACACTTATAAATGCAAATGTGCAATGAATAAGTTTCAGTGTCACTGTTACAGACGTATTGTTCCTTGGCATTATGCTAGCCACACAACAGTGTAGGGTCGATTCCCTCAATTCTGGCAGAGCGGCTAGGCTTTGCTTTCCGGTCGTCTTTGTTAGGCTTATAAACAACGTGGTCGAAGGGACGATACCCGAAAGTTAAAGTGGCCACCTCTCAGAGCCGAGCCTGGGCGTGCGCATTGTCTTGAAAAGAGGAGCCCCACGCAGGTCGGGAGGACGGGTGGACACTCTCCATCGGCCGGTCAACTCTTATAACGCACCCGAACACACCCAGCTGATGAGTTAAACAGTGACTGAATGGCGTTATTGTCTCGCAAGCCTTTGCTCGCCGCTCTGCCAGAATATAGGGAATGGACCCTACTATAGGATTTTAGATTCAGCCTCGTAGTATTCTTCAAAATTCCCTGCTTTTAATAAAAAATTACCGAAATGCAAGAGTTTCATGTACTTCGTTCCCCTTGGAATCACGCCCATTTTTCTTGCTCTGTGGGGGAGCGTTAGAGTCCGTCGCTCTCGAAGTAGCTGTAAACGAGTAGAAATCCCAACATGGTAACAATAATAATACACTGTGACAATACACGTGTGACTTTTTCCATTACAATAATTACAATGTGTGTATTGATAGTTCACAGGTAATATGGCAAATTTACTACCGTTTTCCTGAATTTTATAGCATTATTACTCTTGTTGGTTGATGCTAACTTTATACATTCCCTCCCAAAGTATGGATGTATGTTTCCAAATTGTGCATGAAATTTTCGTATATTGTCTAGTATTGAATTGATTCTGTTTTTTTAAACCACTAACATACCAGGTGGCTGTGGCTGACTCACACAGCACACTTTCGTAGTTATATTGTACCGCATGCGCGCGTCCGGTTGGGTTGCATATTCGCACTCACGGAAAAAAAGTTCCGTCCAGGAACGGATCGTGAAAGCAGATGATACAAATTTAAGATATTATTCAGTCTATATAACATTTCAGTGGGGAACTCACGGGATGTATTACTTGAGCAAATATTTATAGATAGTTTACTTATCTTCATTTGCATTTAAATGCCTACTTGTGCATAAAAATATTCACGTTGTGTTTCATTTTTCTCCTATACTGTAATGCTGTGTGCAGCACTCGGTCGAGCAGTTGCAGCAAGTCGTTGACCTGGCCTCGCTGCCGGCTGGCGCCAAGAGCGCGCCGCACCTCGGGCCGCGTGAGCACTGCCACTTCCGACGTGCCGCCCCCGGATGACCACCCCGCCGGCGTGCCCTTCAACTTCTGCGCGCAGGCGCCGCCCGTCGACGTCCTCAACGACCTCCTGGCCGCCTACTTTTCCGCCAGCGAGTGCGGGGGTGCGTGTCCGACGCCTCCACCGCAGCGGTTTTTGGGGCATCCTAAACGCTCTCTTTTCCCCCCGCAGGCACATGGAATCACCCGCTGCAGCACTGCTGCTCCAATGCAGTAATTTAATCCTACCCGTGGTAATTGTTAAGGCCGCCTACCAGATAGGCTTTGGTGGACGATGTACCGTGGTCACCCCCGGTGACCAACACCAGCTGTACCATATTTGCTCAAAGATAATAAATGCGCGCTCCGCGCGCGTGAAACTTAAAACAACTTAACTGAACCGCAGCGGCAGCAGCCAACCCCCGCGGCGCCAGAGCTGCCGCAGGAGTCCGAGGCTGAGCTCGGCCACAGCCCACCGCCAAAGGAGCAGCTGCCCTTCCTCTGCAGCTCAGACGCCTCTGCCGCTCTTTCCACCACCTTGCTCTCCATCGTGATCGCGGTCTTAGTAAAGGTTCTGTACATGGCCGCGACACGTTTTCTTTGTCGCTTTGACCCTTGTGCCAACCCACGGGACGGATACGCCCGTTTTCCTCAGATTCATTCGCAGTCAGTAGCTGGGCGCCTGCGGGACTCAGGGTAGGCAATCCCGCAGTACACGCGTGCACTGCAGGTGAGATGTTGCCTACCCACCAGGCGCTATGAGAGCTTGCATCTGCTGAATATGGTAGGTTCCGTCACGGCGAATGATGGTCCCTAATCGTGAAATATGTGTCAGCGAGCGTGAACACACTGTAAAACGAAGAGTGACCTTTCTTTCCCGAATAGAGCGACGTACAGGCGTCATCGCTCTGTTAGAGCGATTTTTGCGAAATGACTCAACATGAGTCTTCTTCGTAACAGAAACTGTCGCAGAAACGACCCTAAACGAGCGACGTTTGCGAAAATGACTCAAAATTAGTCTTATTCGCAACCAAAAATGTCGCCAAAAGTTATTGCAAACGAGCGATGTAATTAATATCGCTCTCCCAAGAGTCGTCAAATTGGCTTCACTGATATCGCTCTCCTGGGAGCAAAAAAGGTCGCTCCTTTACTTGTTGTGCATTCAGACGGAGTGATGCGCTCACTGCTCACCAGGTAAAGGCGCCAGTTTCAAGCCAATGATGAGCATTGACGCTCATATGCCTATGTTGCAAATTGCAAGAATAACTATGGGGAAGTTCGGGAAAGTGCATGCCATGTAGTGATGTCAGACAACGATCGCTTATCGCACGCGAAAACATGCGTCTTTTTTGCGTGCGCTGCTATCATTATGAACGATTGAGTCTCGTTGAAGCCAGTTAAGCTGAAGCCACCCCTGCATTTGTTTTGAGGGGGCGGCTTCAGCTTCACAGGCTTCAACGAGACTAAATCCATCATCAGAGCAAGACATAAATATGGGTTCAACTTTAATTATTAACAAATCATAATCACAACAACAACAAAAACGTTTAGAATTCGGTTTATATACAGTGAGATTACAGTCACGCGAGGCTCCCGTCTACGGCGCCGGCGGCGTAGGCAGCCTATCGCGCACCTGGTCTCTAAGGTCGCCAATCGAGTGGCCTTCAAGCTTCACAAGAGAGCGTACTGAGATTAGATAACCAGACACCCGCGAGACGAGACAACTCATTTTCGTGATAACTCTCAAGACTCGTAATCCAGTTTCGTATAAGCCCTTTACAGTCATTACTCGATCCAAGTGTCCGATTACGGAAGTAGTTCATTTGACTTGAAAGTTATTTCGAAATTTACAAGCAGATTCCAGTTAAGTAGAGATGGCGCAGACCGTAAAGGCAAGGCATCGCACACCTGCATGCGGTAATTTTTTCAAGTAGGGGGATTCTTTGTATCACGGTAAATGAAAGTTTCTTGATTTTCAAGACCCGGTATTGGCATCCAAGACCGGGTGTTAAAATTCACGAAACTGTTTTTTCCGTGGTCACATAGTCCATAGTGGACTGCCCCATAATCTGCACCGTCACCACACCCAGAAAAATGTTTTATTTCAAGTACATTTTGACCTAAGATCAATTTTACTCTTGACACAAAATGATATGTATTACCTTTCGATTGAGAAAATGTTCTTACCTAAGACAAAAATAATCTTGGGTCACTCTAAGGTACAAATGTACTTGAAACTAGTGCAAGCAAGGGACTATCCCCAGTCCGCTGATGTAAGAGATGACCGTTTCAACGACCTCAACCTCGCATACTCATTTCAACTAATTATTATTTTTGGTATCATCTGTTTTCATTCAATGCCGCACCGGGTCACTACCATCACATGATTAGTGACACGTGGGCACACCAGTCCCGTCGCGTCCCGCTACCATCTCCCCTTGTCAAACGACGCCCTCTTCGTGTCCGTACAGTCGTTGGGTGTCCTTGGTCGACGATGACTCGCAGACTCCGTGTGGTCGGGCCGGGCCAGCAGCGGCTCCAAGTTGTTATTTGACCTTGTGTCAGCTGCAGCGGCAGGTCGCGCGTGCGTGGCGCGTGTCAGCGCCGTCAGCTGATTTTGAAAAGTGTGCTGCTGCCACGTGGTCGGCAGCGTCACTGCACGCGGCAGTAGTTGTTGTGGGTGGGACTAGAGTAACGCCTTTCCAAACATACAAAGCTCCAGCGGTGACGGTGGTGCCGCCAAAAATGTTCCGTTGTAGCCAGAGTCTCGGGTTGGTCACAACGCGTCAGTGAGCCTTGGCCTTGGTGCGGCGCCGTGCCCCGCCCGACGAGCAGAGGGCCCCGAGGAGGCGGCGGACGAGCCAGAGCGCGAGGCCCACGGCCAGCGCGGCGGCCGCCAGGATGTCCAGCATCCAGACCTCGTACCAGCGCAGGCGCAGCGCGGGCGAGCGCAGGTGCGGGGCGCCGCCCGTGCGCGCCACCATCTCCACGTACCAGGCCGCGCGCTCCACCGGCGTCTCCTTCTGGTCGCGCACCGCGTTCTGCACCACCTTCATGTTGGCGCGGTACCTGCGTGGGCGGGAAAAGTTTAAAATGTAATAGCGAAGTTATAACAAGTTAGTGAGGTTTTTAAGCGAAATTTGCACCCATAGGCAAAGGATATGTCAGGTGTGTTGTTGGGTGTTAGGGCGGACACGTACTTCGGGTTGTTGATGACGTCAGTGAGCGCCTCGTAGAAGGCCTCCTCGGTGGCGGTGCGGTAGATCACCGTCCGGCTGATGCCGATCCTCTCCCCCTTCTTGGCGTAGCCCAGCTGATCGGAGAAGAAGGGCATGCCGAGGATGGGCACGCCGTGGTAGCTGGCCTCCTGGGTGCTCAGCCCGCCGTTGTGGGAGACGAAACAGCGAATGTTGGGGTGAGCTGTGTAGCAAAGCGTGTGTGTTGTGCTCAAAATATGCCGTCTCGTGAACTGTTTGTTTGGTACTCGATGAGTGGTTTGCGGGAAAGGACACGCAAAGACGAGGGACCTATACCTAGAATGTCATTCTGCGGCAGCCACTTGGCGACACGCACGTTGGGCGGCAGCTTGTCCAAGATGTCGTCGTCCTCGTACTTCCACAGCACGCGCTGCTTGATGCGGGCGAACGCCCTCAGGATGGCGTCTCGGCTGCCTTTGCTGAGGCTGGCCGCCCTGCTCGACAGATAACCAAAGGACATTGACATTTCCGGGTGAATCCTCAACAAACGCCAGAATTCGGTCGGCACACTCTTATTTTCCTTTGTAGATAATTGATAAGAGTAATCTTACCTGACGTTCGTCCCGAAAGACATGAACACGAAGCCGTGCGGCGCCGCCTTCTCGTTGATCCACTCCAGGATGTCGGCGGGCAGGGGCTTGGGGGGCCGGGCCTGCATGCCGCCCACCTCCACGATGCTGGGCACCAGCGGCATGGCGCCGTGCAGCGCGGGGTTGGTGTTGACCAGCGAGATGGCCACGTCCTTCTCCAGCTCGGCCAGCGGCGGGGCGCCGGGGAAGACCTACAGAGGAGGAGGATGCATGACGCATGGCGGTTGAAGTATATCGAGCTCGAGTAGTTTTCACCAGTAATCTGATTAGATTAACAACGTCCAACTCCCCTACTTAGACCGTACACACACAGAGAGTACCATCGAGTCGATACGACTATATGAGTAGTAATTAACAACATTTTTGTTTCTGAAACCGAATAAAAATTTAGCTACCCCACTTCAAATTAATTAAAGTCGCGCACGTCGTGCGACTATAAAACTAAGTCAGCTTGACCAAATTATTTCCTCACATCGGATAAAATTTGGTTTGCAGAGCTAAAATTGCAAAACATAAAATTGTAAAACAGCCATCTGGGTGTACCGTACCGTAGTCAAGCGTATGAAGGCGAGTCGCCATCACCGTGAGAGGTGTACCGATCCTGTACCGACGTTCCGTTTTCTCAAGAATTTTTCTGTTTTGTCTTTTTACACGGAATTCACTATTGAGTGTCCTCTGTGCCGGGGCGGACAGACATGGGCCCGCATCAATTACTGGCAAATGCCTGATCCGCGCGATTGTCTTTACCTCGGCGATCATCTTGTCCACGTCGGGCCTGTACACCCAGTTGATGTACGTGGTGTAGCCGATCCAGCGGTAGACGCTGTGCAGGCGCTCGGAGAAGGTGAGGGGGTCGCCACCGTGCGCGCCCACCCCGGAGTAGGGGAGCAGAGAGGGGAAGTAGGGGCTGCCCATGAGCGTCAGCACGTCCACGGGCAGGTTGAAGGCGGTCATGGCGACCATTGGCTTCCTGCCAATGATGTAGTTGAGCTGCAATAAAGTACCGGCATCTTGAAAACTACTTGCAGACTGACCCATAGTTGCTCATAACCATTCGACTTCAACACTCTCGAGACAAAACACAGGATGACGAGTAAGCTCACCCCGATGAACGGCTCCTGCAACGGGAAGTCGAGGACGAAGACGTCGAAGTCTGGCTTCTTCTGCTTTAAAAGTTTGAGGAGATCGGCGAATGCCTTCGATTCAAACACAATGTTTGCGGAATCTCTGCAGAAGTCGTACAAGAAATGGATTTCCTCAAACAGACTGTGGTCGTAGATGGTCTCGAGGTCCACGGGCTAGAAGCATAGGAAGCCGTTTCATTGAGCCTGATGTAAATCTGCGTAAATCTGTCAGTCTGGAGGCTTGCCCCACCGTTGACCCCAGGGATCATTTGGGAAAGCCACGACTACTTCATATTGACACTTTTGATAACTGTCAATGACCTATTCGTGGCGGGTGGTGCGTTGTGTACTCACCGTTGTCTCGGCGTATATCTTCCCGTCGATGACGAAGCTTGTCCTGTTGGGATGTGGGGTCGCCGGCGGTTTGATGACCAACTCGGTGACGTGGTGACCCCGCCGCAGCAGTTCGCCGGCCAGCGAGCTTACCCAGATGTAGTGGCTGGGCGAGGACACGGTGCTGACGAACAAGACGTTCAGCGGGGACGCCCCGCACGGCGCGAGGGCGGCCAGCGTGGCCAGCGCGACGAGGAGCATGCTGCGCGCAGGGCAGAAAACAATGACATTTTGTGCTATAATTGTGCAGCTCGTTTTCCCCCGTAGCGCCGCTTTACCAATGCGCATTAAAATGCGCAAAAAAGGTTACACATTCCTGGCGCAAAAAAGGTTACACATTCCTGGCGCATTTAATGCGCATTAGCGCATTGAATGCACATTTAGCTCGCATTACGCGCATTAAATGCGCAAGGAATGCGTAGCCTTTTTTAAGCATTTTAATGCGCGTTACTGCATTGAATGCGCGTTACTGCATTGAATGCGCATTAATGCGCATTGGCGCTTCTGTGGTTGCCACCTCTACCACTACGTTGTAAATAAACACAAAGTCTCAGTAAGGAGTTACGTATAATTGTGCAGCTAGTGTTACCACCTCCACCACCACCACGTTGTAAATAAACTTTTTAATTTGGCACATTTGAATTTTTGATTATATAAACCAGAATGCTAAGTCTCGATAAGGCGTTACGGCTGTACCGATCGAACTCGCCTTGCTCGTTGGGAGACCCCGGGGCTAAGCGAATTCAAGTGAAAGTGGGTTGGGGGCAGGGCACGCTACGCCGTGCGCCCCGGGGGTTGATTTCGATTCGTCAGGGAACAACCCTTAAACTTATTTGGCCATTAATGCCCCCAGTTGGTCCTTTGACGGTTTATTGACTCAACAAACGAGGTACAGAGTAATTGACACTAGTCGCTGAAGTCGACTCCATACAGGTTAAAAAAGGGACATCGACAGAAGAACGCGTGTCGGCGCCAATACCTATCAAAACATTATATTTCTAGACCGATCTAGACGGAAATGGCGGTAGTTGCCCGCCATATAGAGTATAGCATAATTATTTTATTTAGCACGTCTTGTTTTCTTCATGGTTAGGTTTTATTACTTGTACACTGGAAAAACAAAGATAGCACCAAATTGTAGTGCCTTTAGAAAGGCACAAAAGTGTCAAAAGGCGCTTAAATTTAGTTCCTTCGGGGCATTTACATTTAATAAGTCCCTCTCCAGGTGTGATCTTGTAATGCCCTCAGAACCCACAGTCATTCCACCCCAAGAATTGTGTTTGGCCCTTCCTTTGAGTTTAACACCATGCCGAATACTTCTAGGTGCTCCGCTGCTTAGTTGAGCACTTACTGCAAGTATGTCGGACCGAGAGTGCAAAATTTCACGTTCAATATGAGTTAACTTTTCAAGCATTTGCACTAAGTGCACAACATAGCAGGTGATCACACTTGCAAGTGCATTAGAATGTGCATTAGGATATAAGTTCAGCTACGTCAGAGAGTGATTTGGGACTCACTTGGCGGGGTGTGTGCTGGGACCGGTCGCTCCACACTGACAGACGCTGGCTCTTTCGTCTCTCCCGCTACTAGCGTATCCCCCCTCCTATACTCCCTCGCGTCTGCCCCCTCCTCTCCCCCTCTCTCTCCCTCCAATCCAAGTGGATGATGGTCAGTCTTTTGATGATTGTGGTGAGAGCTGATCACTTTGTGTTGTCGATTTTTTTCATAAGCGTGCCTAGAGTGTTTTCGGATGAGCATGCATTTATGTCGGGTATAATATGAAGTGAACCTCAATGAACTATAAAAGGGAAATGAACTTGTGTGATCGAAATCTGTTCAGAGGGTACATTTCTTTTTAAAGATAACCTGCCAAATTTTTCCTTCACATAAACCTTTTAATATGAAACATGACACTATTTTCTAGCACAACTGCTTTCAGTAGAACTTGTTACTTCTTTGAAATTGGATAAGAACTATAACGTTTGAAACAGTAGCAGAAATTATCTGAAACAGAAATTCAAACCATGGATCATATGTAAATACTTTTCTTTACGTGAAACCCGGTGAGAAATCGGCCACCGATCCGACGTGGATTCGACGTTAATCGGTGGACGAAACCGGCAGTCTAAATATTGGTCAAATAATTTTGGGATTCGACTCGCAGTTTTAAGATTTTAGTCCCCTTGCCAATGTCTGAACTGTTCAAGAACGTTGACCGTCCTTCGAAGGGCCTGCATTTATTTTACAAATACTTTGATAATGGGGAGAATCGACGTCGAAAATGTGATTTCGGAACACTTACAGATTATCTAGATCCGACATTTGCGTTTCGAATAACTTGTCAAAGCCAATAATCCCATTTGCAAGGCCTCCTAGCGCCTGATGGGTAGGCAATATCTTGCCTGCATGAGTGCATATGTGTACTGCGGGGTGGCCTACCCAACCAGCGTCTCGCAGGCACCCGTAATTTACCGATGAACCTGGGGAAAACGCACGCACCTTCTGAACGATAACTTTTCACCCGTCTCGGCAAATTTGGCGTAATGGCGACAATAGCTATATTCAGTTAAGCCAACGCTTGACGCACGCTCCCGAAAGCGTGGCGCACGCTTGGCGGAGCGCGCGGGCAGCAGGCGAGGGGCGATGTGCGGGGAGGCGACGGTGACTCTTCACCCTGCCCCACGCCTTCCCTCTTGCCCTCGCACGCTTGCAGGAGCGTGCGCTGCGCCGAGCGTGCGCTAAGCGTGGATCTTAATTGAATAGAGCTAATGCCGACTCACATTCGAATTACTCTTAGTTAGCTCTCGCCGATGAACAATCGGTGATATCACGCCCAATTAACCATATTTTTTCTTTTATTTATTTGAGTTGATGGTATTTGAGTTGATACCATATGAGTGCAAATTCTGATTCTACAATAATGGCGAACCAGTTGGGTGAGTCCACCTCTACTTCAAAGGAATAGACATCTAAATTTTGGTAGTGAGGGCCGAGCTGTTAGATCGCCACCACATGGGTGATGATTCGATGCAAATTTTGATGTACACAGTAAATCGTAAAGGAACCCTTGCTGTCCATAGAAAGTCACATTTTTGTGCACATCTTTCTCAGATGCAATTGTTAAACTTGCGATCGACAACTTTGCATCCTCGCAATGGACAAATTTTCGTTTTTTTCCATAATAGAGGCAAATTTGTTATTTGTACAATACAATATTGCATCTGGTTGAGATGTGCAAGAAAATGAGACTTTCAAGGGACAAATAAAGTCCCTTCGGATTTTGTGTGTAATTTTCGATCCACAGATCGAAAGCCGCGCATAATTTCTGACCGATTTCTTACAGGGAAAGTCAGAATTCCTATTCCAATCAAGTGTTATGGTTGAGCACTTTAGACACTTCCATAGATGAGAAGAGTATAGCAGAGTAGTTACACACTATAAATATTTTTTTCATGTAAATAGAACATTACCTACCGAAGTAATAGTTTCCTTGCGAAGAAAAAAGAAACCTCCCACGGATACCCGAACGTCACTTCGTGAGGTGAGATATGCGAAAAACTTTACCTGTAATATAAACCAATTGTTGCGTCTCAGCCCACAACCAAACGTCTAACTAACCCGGTTAAGCATCAATTTATTAATGCGCATGAAATGCAACACTTGTGGAGCGTTTAATTATCATTAGATTTTCATGCGCCTTTCCTCAAATTGGTTCCACTAGAGCAACCACAGTGACTAAAGACTAACTAATTTAGAATAAGTTTTCGATTTTATTACTTCATTACCTCTCGCTGTGTTACAGAATCCATTATTGGATAGATTAAATAGAAATCAACTCTTAAAATTTTATCGAATTTCATTTTGACCTGCAATAATTCACATGATTAATACAGCGCGCTATTTTTAAACAACTTTGCTAATTAATTTTTCAAACAGAGCACCTTCACTGAAAACCTGTGAGTGGGGTGTCGTGCCCGAAATGAGTGAGACAATTTTGCCTAAAGGTGGATACGGAGTTCCCTAAGAGCGAGCGCGATTCTCACGCAATGTGGGACTTTCACGCTGTCAGCGTGATGAAAGTCGGTTCCTTATTGGCTGCGTGAAGCTAACGGAGCGTGGAAATGGCGCCTGGCGTGAGAATCCAGGCGCGGTATAAGGGGGAGGGGGGCGATCGCCCGCTTCAAAACCCCTGTAGGCAACCCACATTGCATCGCCCCCCCTGTCGCCCCCTCCTTATACCGCGCCTGTGAGAATCACCCTTGCGTTTCATGAACTCTGTTTTCACACTTACTCAATAAGAGCGACTAATAATGCTCACCCTATTTGAGTCGTATGCACCGTACTCTCACTCTGAAGGAGTAAGATTTCCCTGACCTCGCCCAATTGCACTGTAAAACCTCACACTCATTGAGTAAGGATCACAAATTCTGACTCAAATTGAGTCAGATATCTCGCTCTCAGGAGAGTGAGATTTTTTGTGTCACTTATCTCGCTCCCCTGTGAGAGTAAAATATTTGACTTTAGCATTTTCAGTGTTGTTTTGCAACAAAACCTTAATATGCGTGTATTTAGAATTCCGAAAACGGAAGGGTGATTTTCACGTTCTCTAAACTTGAGGCAACAAACGAAGAAACGATTTCCTTCACGTCGGGCGCGTGAAAATCGCGCCTGGCGTGATGATCGCACTCGCGGCTTGCCCAAGGAGGAGGGGAAAGTCAGCATGACATCAAAATGATGTCAAAATGGCTTCTAAAGTCAACGTAGGGGACCATTTTGACATCAAGAAGACGTGAAAATGGTCCCCAATTTTGACCTTACAGGTCATTTTGATGTCATGCTGTCTTTGCCTTCCTTCTTGGGTGGGAACTCTAAATCCGCCATATATATTTGTTTTAGGTATAAAACTTGTATCCTAAACAAGACATGTTTTGTCAAGAGATATCAACAGTAAAATGCCGCAACATATGGCGGCAACAAGTAGGAGAGTTTGAGTTCTAGAACAAATAATTACTTGTTTACGACGGGTCGCTGCATATTCAATTAACAACCCACACTGTTAAAAAACCTGTTGTAAAATAACAACGAAAGTCTAGTTAAGTTTGTTAGCAGCACATGTTGTTTATTAACAACACATGTTGTAAAAAGACAACATTGATAAAAATCTTGAAAAAAAAGTTTCTGACCAAAAACAGTTACTTTTGTTCTGCTCCTGGGAGAAACAGTTGTAATATTACGAGTGTGTTGTTTTTGAACGAAATGTGTTGCTAACAAAACTAAAAACTCTATTCTTGTACATTGTACACTTTTTGTACATTTACAACAAAGTATGTAATACCAAGTAGTTCCTGTTGGGCCAATATAAGCCGAATAACACAAGTATCGCAAGGGGTTAAATGAAAACAACATTTGTTGTTTATTCACAGCCGTATCGTTTAAAAAATTGTTTTTTTTTACAACTCTGTTCAACAGTGCAGCTAAATGATATGTCAAACCGCAGTAGTTTTGACATCGTAGGTCAAACAATAAGTTCAACCAAAAAATACGTTGAAACAATAAGTTTTTCGATGAGATAACGTTAAACTCATCGACGAATGTTGATGCGACGTTTCTAGCCGTTTCTTCACTCTACCGACAATTTTCTGAAGCAGCGCCGGACTTCTGTGTGCATAACTGTGTTCAGATCGAGGTTCAGATACATCATTGTAACTAACATTACATATACACGGTAAAAACGAGTCCTGGGATTCCCTGGAGAGTTGGAACCCCAATGGGTGCCCGCCAAGGAAACAAGGAGTTACTCCAAGGGGATCTACTGGAAAACCCAGGATATCCCCTGGGAAAATGGCACATTTCCAGGGCAACCACTGGACTCTTCCGACTCCCCTGGAAAATGAAGAAAACTCATGGGAATCCCAGGGCCCGTTTTTACCGTGCATTTAGTGTAATAGCTAGTAACAATTATGATAGTGGAAGATTATAAATATTGGAATATATCCTTAACCTACTCATACAACCTAAAAATAACTAATTACCACGTCGGAAACTTCCTGAGCAGCCATGCATAGGATCAGTGCGCTTCCATTCCAGAGTACCATCATTATTACAATCGAAAAAATGAGATCTGGTTCAGAGCTGAGACGGACGGCGACCGCTGTCTGCATAAGATATTTCCCCCAATAATTTCCGGCTCAGTTTTTCAAGAAAGCTTAATGATTATCATTTACTCACTTGGAAGGCAAAAAATGTGCTCATGTTTACCAGAATACATATGTAAATGCAAGTCGTAACGGGCATCAAACATACGTTTTGTGTTAATCTACGAAGATCGATCCAGGATGCCCGAAACTCGCTAAGACGCTGGGCACGCATTTTTCCTGTTTTGATTTCCTAACACACAGGAACTTGTCAATCAATTACAGGTTACAGTACACAGCAGCCCACCAACCCGGGTGTGTCAGGTGTTACTTTTACCCGGAGAAGCTGCAGGGCCATCTGATTGGCGAAATCTGAAATCCGCTTGAAGTAGGAAACGAGTCCTAGCGTGAGGCTGAAACACAGCACGATATTGTAGACGCCGGCTGGGAGGTGGCGCCAGTTGGATCCGCGCCCCTTGCCCACCACGAACAGCCATACCACGACCAGCGACGGCGTCGTGAACACGGCCATGACAAGCAGGAGCCAAGCTAGGATCGTCGGCCGTGATCCACAGCGAGGAACCAGGTAGCCGAAGTCGCGCTGCCAAAACGGGCCAATTTAGGTTTGACCGGACTGCGGGGACCTCGCGCAATAAAAAGGAGCCGAAGCGTACCATGAGGGGGGTAGCAAACTGGAGAAAGGTAAACGCAGAGCGCCGCATCTCAAACCACAACAAGGGCGCGATGACGTAGTTAAAAGTTGCCAGTATGGAGATTATGGCAACGAATCTATCGGCCACATGGTCGAGCCGATCCGCTGACAGTTCCTCGAGCTGCCTCAGGCGATCCCGGATCGTGACCCAACCTGACCACAGCACGATGCTGTTCACCACCAAGACCCACGCCAGGTTGGAGCGCAGCGTCAGAAATGTCGTTGGCCCCAATGAACACATCAGCATGGCCAGTCGGTCCCTGTGAGTCAGCAGTAGGTATTTAAGATGTGGTACCTGGTACATGTAAGCTTACGCATCCGCATGGCAACGCGACAGGATATTTCCGCAGGGCTCTTTAGTTGTGCAATAAGAGGGTTGGCACGTGAACATCCGTATCTCGAATCTGAAGCACCTCGTCGCTAAACGATCCCTCCTCAATATAATCAATAAGAGCGACTTTGGTGTTCATTAATTAAGCGCATTTCACAGAAAAATAAGTAACGCAAAGTACTTTACAAAAAACTAGCGTATGTCACACTTAAAAATGCAAATGCAATGAATAAGTTTCAGGGTCACTGTTGTGTACTTATTGTTCCTAGTCATTGCTGGCAACAACAGTGTACTATAAGATTTTAGATTTAGCCTCATAGTATTCTTTAAAATTCTCTGTGTTTAATCAAAACCTACCGAAATGTGAGAATTTCATGTGCTTCGTTCCCCTTGGAATCACGTCCATTTTTCTTGCTCTGTAGGGGAGCGTTAGAATCCGTCACTCTCGAAGCAGCTGTGAACGAGTAGAAATCCCAGCATGGTAACAATTGTTATGTGTTTTATTATTAATAATAAAACACTGTGACAATACACGTCTGACTCTTTCCATTACTATAATTACAACGTGTGTATTGATAGACCTCAGGAAATGTGGCAAATTTACTACCGTTTCCCTGAATCTCATAGCATTATTACTCGTATATTGTCTAGTGTTATGTGGTGGCGTCCCAAATGGGTACCGTCATTCCTAGCTACTTTGAGGTCACCGCTGGCCCTCCTTGATTGGGCCGCGACAGGTTCGCGCCTGTCGCCCCACCGGAACCGAGCTTTCATAGCTCGGCCAGGCACTTGTCCAAGTGCCGAGCTAGTCTAGCGAGGGACACCACAGCCACAAGCCAGCATCCACCCCTAGGGACGACTGCTCGCTTCCCGAGGCGGGCCACCGCGACCTGTATCCGCGGCGGCCCCGCCACCATACTACCCTGTAAGTGTACAGTTCAGTGTGACAGTGTACCTGTGCCATCGTAGCATCATACAATAAACTACGTAGCTCCTAACTGGCTAATCTGAGTACATCCCTCGAATATAGCCCCCACACAACACTAGTATTGAATTGCACTGGTAAAACAAAGGTGCTAATCACAGGGTTCATACCAGATCCCAAATTCTATTTTCCCTGACTTTTCCCTGACTTCCAGACCAAAATATCCCGATTTTCCCTGACTTTTCTGAGCAGTATAGGAGGTCAGTGTCGTAGAAATACAGAAAGAAACAGGACGCAAAAATAAATTCGTTACTACTAAAGACGATAAAGAATACTGAAAATCAGGATATGGGTAAAAGAATAGGCCAAGATGGCGTATATGCTCGCGAGCGGAGCGAGCGAGAAATTTTTTGGGTAATAAATATGCACTTTTTGCCATATCTGGTGAAATTCGCCAGCATTTGCCGACACTGAATAGTTTTCCCTGACCCAAATGAAATTTCCCTGACTTTTCCCTGACTTCCAGACACCTTTTTTTTCTCCCTGACATTCCCTGACTTCCCTGACTTCCCTGACCGGTATGAGCCCTGTAATCAACACCTTTCCTGGGGCACTAAAGCTCCAAATGCACGAAAATTCAGTTTTTTCGAAATATTATCTATCCATGGCAATCTATTTAACTAGAAGATGCATTTTCTGGTTCTGTGAAAAAATCCGCTTCAAACGAGCCTACATGTGATAGGGGTCTGTTTGCAAACCACAGAAAGGCATCCGATTGTCGAGGCTCAGTTACTTCCTATAACGCGCATCAGACACACATCACATGGTACCTCGTTTGAAGCGGAATTTTCAGCTTAATGCGAAAATTTAGGTCTAAGAGTAATTATTTTGCGCAGGTAGAAGACATTTGGGAAAAACGAAAACATTAGTGCCTTTGGAACTTTAGTGCCTTTTAAAGGTGTTGATTAGCACCTTTGTTTTACCAGTGTGATTCTGGTTTTTTAAACCGATAACATACCAGGTGGCTGACTGACTCACACAGCACACTTTCGTAGTTATACTGTAACGCATGCGCGCGTCCGGGCGGGTTGCATATTCGCACGGGTCCATAAGGAACAGTGGGCAGCGACGGTTAAGTATAGTGTGTTGTCAATGTCACTTACCAAACACTGGGCCGTAAGGATATATTCCATATATAAGGACAACTGCGATCACTGGTTCCAGTCCATACAATAGACCAGCAGGACCCAACTTTCTCCAATTTCTCATCCTGGAGGCTGTACAGGAAGTGGCCAATTCCGTAGCTTTTCTAACTTCAGGTGGGTATTCTCATCTCCTCGCCCACAGCCAACGCCACCGTGGCCAACAATGACTCCATACGCGAAGTTTGCGCCACATCGTAGGCGGTTTGCCATAGCGCCCTAACCCAGGAACACTGGTTAGCTACGTCAATTTATGGCTTCTTCTGGAAAACCAATAGGGACAGGAGGTGCGTGTTATGTTTACGGCTTTACCCGGAGGACGGCATCAGACTACAGCTCGCGATTGCTCGTCATTGTAACATATTCTGACGTGAACATCAGAGGCACGATAAAAAAAGGATTTTTGTATTTCAAGACCCGGTCTTGGATCTTATAGAGAGCACCCATGGCATCCAAGACCAGGTCTTGAAATCCAAGAATATCTTGTTTGTACAGTGGGTAATTTGGTAGCACCATTGGCCGGGGGCGCCTGGTGGGTAGGCAATTTCCCGACAAGCATGCACGCGCGTATGGCGGGCTGCGGGCTGGCCTATAGCCGACGTGCGCACGCGCTTAGACCGACAACGTACTCAAGCTGCCGTACTCGGCGCGCTGGTCGCTTCTGCACCCAAACGCACTCGTACGTTGGAACGGTTGTCTACACCTGCCGGTGCGGGCGGACCTTGCGTCTCTTTCGCAATAACAGCTGACTGCATTACTCAAGTTGCATCATTATTTCTCATTTTGTAAATAAGCTTCGCTCAGCGAAAAATTGAGTGTTTAATGATTATTGCAGGTATAATTTTATTTTTTTATTGGGGAAAATCAATCAAACAAAACATTTCACAGAGAGAGGCTTGTATAGCAATGCATGAGCCAATCGTTACTTCTACTTATAACTACCAGTCCTCAAAAAAAGATGAGTCCTCACAGTCTAGGTCAAACATGTGAAAACGTACAGGGACTTTTCACAATTCAGGGACCTTATTTATTTTCCAATCAGGAAGTTGCCGAATCGTGCTAGTATTCTTCTGGTCGATGGAGGCTGCGGGTGCCAGTCCGTCGTCCAGATGATTTCAATCTCTGTTATCCACGCCCAACGCCTACGACGCGCCGAGCGCCAGCCAAACTAGTCAGTCTCAGTCTCAGGTGGGAGCGAGTGGCGGAGCGTCGTCTGCTTTGGTCCCGCTTCGTGATATCTGGTGCGTGCTGTGGCGGCTGCGCCCGAGCGCTTTAAACATGCAGTAAGTATATTGCCGAACGCTTCTGTGTGATTTATTCTCGGGTTTAGTCCGGTAAAAAAACCCAATTAAAGCATGCTTTTTAATCTTACAACAATGGCGACGTACTTCTGAGCGATAAGCACGATGAAGTACTTGAAGTTAGGCATATAAAATGTTGTCAGAGCATCATAAAGAAGCGCGCATGAGGAAGCCGGTAGTAGAGGGCCCTCAAAAAGAGATTTATTCTAAATCGTCCAGTTTTTGTGAATGTTCGACCTTTCCTTCCTTGCTGCTACGGTAATTCCAAACGAAGGGAAATGGAAATCACTTGCACTCGTACAATTCGACTTTGTAATCACTTGTTGATCATCTTCAATGGAATAATGCCGTAATGCTGTGGAATAGCATTTAATTGTGTTATTATAATGGGTCGTAATGGGTTCTACATGCGAGTACAACACCTTTCGGTGTTAGGCTGTCAGATTCAACAGAAGCAAGGAGCCAAATCTTATCTTAAATACCAGTTTGTTTTATGATGTAAAGGTAAACGTGGAGGAATGAACACAGGAAAAACAAGGAATTTGGTCCACCCCACACCGGTTCATTGCTATAGCGTTCATTTGATATCGTTTACCTCGTCAGCAAATGTATGCTAAATCCACTCTTCGATTAAAATTATTGAAAAAAATCAAAACTTTGACGACATTGGACAGCCACTGAACCGACGAATCGTTTTGTCTAGGACGGAAACACGCATGCACTACCTTCTGCATGTTGTTCTACATTAACGTCCAGAATTATAAGGAGTCATAAGTATGCACAGATAAACCAAGTGTACAACTGCTCAACACATTTAAGAGTGCAACTCCTAGGTTGAACAATTTCCCGACTATGAGCGTCCAATCTAAGGGAATGTCCAATGTCCAACCGAGGCGTCACAGACTGGCAAAGCGCATAGCTACCGAGTTGAACACTTACAAGTGTATTACTCCGAAATTGAACACTTTCAAGTATTTAACTTGCAGTTGCGCACTTAGTTTACCAGTGTGGTTTCTACCCATACAGTTCGACGTCTATGCCATCATGATTGTTACGCGCTTTTAACTGTGGCAGGCGTGTCAGGCCGAGACAGTCATCTTTTCACAAACATTAAGAGAACTAACGAAAACGAATTACTTTTATTTTACAGTTTGTCAGAAGATGCTAACGCAAATCCTGCAGCTACCAAAAGCTCAACCGAGACAGACATCCTCCTACAAGAAAGGACGCCGTCTATTTTGCCCAGGTTTGTTTTTAGCTAGCGAAGAAAATGTATTACGGAAATATTTTGAAACCAAAGAAACTTTAAAAAGTAAAGCAAAACAGACTAAACCTTTCATAAATATCGGTGCCAAATCTTTTCTATTCTTATCCTTCCCAGTTCATTTTCGAACTATCTTAATCGATGTAATTCATTAGAACTTTGAAGTTTGTCAGCAGATTTATGGAATGATTACTATGGAAAGCCAAGTGTGTAAATGTATGCGTTATTTGCTGAATACCTACATGTGTGCGGCAAATACTGCGTACATGATCATGCATTCATTAATTATTGTGTACCGGGTGTGACTGTGAATACGCAGCAGTGTTGCGGGTTTGCCCACTCTTTACACCCGTAAGGGGCCATGGCCCCTGCGGCCCCTGACTATGCAATCCCGCAACACTGCTGCGTATTCACAGTTACACCCGGTACACGGCCAGGTACGCACTTTAGCACATAGCTTTTAGCATAGGGCATAGGGATATTTGATGCATACATGTGGGCATTCAGCAAATAACGCATACATTTACGCACATGGGTTTCCCGAGTAACAAACAATTTGTAATAATACACTTTACGTCTCTGTAATAAGTGAGCTAAGAAACTTTAAACAGCAAAGGTTTTCTCCGACAGAAATGACCATCCGCAGGCTAAGCAGCGCGAACACGATGAAGAAGGACAGGAAACACACGTCAAGCATCCCACATCGTAAGTTTATTGGTGAGCAATATTTCCACGACACGTGTTAAGTACTGCCCTGGCGCTAAACATCATTTTTCTTTTATCACAAAAACTCTGCAAAACTATTTTTACGGTACGTTTCACCTGCTGGGCAAGTAATGAAACTAAATTATTATTATTTTAACCACACCTCTCACTACGTCTCCCCAGGACTGTGAGGGGGTGCATTTTTAGGTACCTTATTTTCGTTAAATGTTGGGAGGGTTTGCAAATTTCGAAAATGAGTCTGAACCCTGGCTGCAAGTTGCCGTGTTTCATGTTGGGTGTCATGTGTTATCTTGCAGGGCTCTAGAAGGGCATCTCAAACATTTTGTTTACTCTCTAGGTACTTGGAAACCTTCATCCACTACGTCAAAGCCAACACAGGGGCTGGCATGTTCGCGATGGGAGAAGCTACAAAAAATTCTGGGATCCTGCTAGGACCGGCACTCTTGGCACTCCTTGGGACCATCTGCGTATTTGCTCAACACCAGCTAGTTAGTTGAAATACTTCAAAAAAAAATTTAAATCTATTTTTCCTTTGTTTCTATTAAACTAAATTTAGGAATAATATTACGATTACGGGAAAACCTGTTTTCGTGATTATTCACTGGAAAAACAAAGGTGTTAAATCGCAGAGGGAAAATGTGTTAAGTGTTTGAAACCCTGCTTAGAAAATCATTAACACTGAAAAGGCGATAACTTTTATCACCTGTAGTGCTGTAGTACTCTTTAGCGCCTTTACAAAGGCATTACTCGATATTTCAACACCCCTGAAAGAGCACTTTCGTGTTTCCAGTACTGGCACGTGTTGTAGAGACGGCCACGTAGGAGTTGACCCTTTGTTGTGATACTACCGTGTGTCAGGGCTGCGATACAACGGTGTTAGGGTTTGCATACCCTAAAGCCTAAGGGCCATGGCGGGAGGAGACTGGTTGTGTCGTGGGCCTGACACCCGGTACACTATTAGTAACAAGTTTTTGGGTTGGCCTACAGATGCACGCGTCGGCTTTCGCTGCCAAGCGCCTCCGCCTTTCAGTTCACCCAGACTATGCGGAAACTGCGCAGTATAGTTTTGAAGTCGGCCCGGGGGCATTTCCCCGCTGGGCCAGCACGGTGCGGAAGGCTGTCTACGCCTCTCTAGTCTGCACGCAGCTCGGGTTCTGTACCGTTTACTTCGTCTTCATCGCGTCCAACATGAAACAGGTTAGTGTCAACACCAGAGGAAAGGACGAAATCACTTCCCCGTCTGACTCGGTCTGATTGGCCCGAGGACGCTCTTTGATAACTTTCCATATCGAGTCGAAAACAAGACGGACAATGTCAGTTCTTTGTTTTCGTTAGAGCTCCAGCCGGTCCTTGCACACGTGGTTCCTAGGGAATGGCAGCTGAACGATCATTTCCTTGCTGACGGTCCAGTTCATACCGCGTTCACAGATTGCACTCGGCCAGACAGGGCAGAAGCAGGGCGAGAAGGGTATCGCGAGGAGGCGGCATGTCGACTGACGCCCTGGTGTCCGTGCGCTGCGCCCGTGTCAGTCCGGGTCAGGCGCTGACACTGACTGACAGCGTATGCGCTCCCGCCGACAGAGGTCTGTAAAGTCAGCGACGCGCGGCGCCGCGCGCGTGCGTGCGCTGAGCGTCAGTCACCGCAGCTGTAGATTTGAGCTTTCATTTGATACCAAAAATATCACTTCTCCCTCGAATGAGGACATCGGAAGCCAGCATCGCAGTTCGAGTTCAAATTTCGTTACCAAATTAAAGCTCTTGGTTTCTTCTTCGATGTAACGACTTCAGGGTACATCAAAAGTGAACGAGATCGAAGTTTTGGCCAATAATCCGCAGCTGCGGAGATTCACGCTCGACGCACGCACGCGCGCGATGCCGCGCGTCGCTAACTTTACAGACCTCAAGCACACACTGATAAAATAAAGCGTTCGACTCGGCATTTCTAAAATTTTAAGTGTTTAAGTCCTCGGTTTCAACAGAGGAGTTGAACACCTAAAAGTCCGCTAAAAGTGCATGACTATCGAGTGGAACACTTTTAAGTGCACATGTACCTAGTTGGGTTGAACACTTTGTCAGTGCCGCCCACCTCCACGAGTAGGGACAGGTGTGAGATTCGAAAACACATATGTGCTTAGGTCCTGGACCAGTACATCATACCTATCGATGTACACTACTACATGGCGATGCTGCTCGTCCCCATCCTGCTGGGGAGCTGCATTCGGACCCTCAAGCACCTCGTGCCCATCTCTCTCATCTCCAACCTGTTCATGTTCACAGGTAAACAAAAGTAACACAGTAATAACAGGACCAGTAATATGACTAGGAGTCACTATAAGGGGAACGGGTAACGTTTCAGGCGTCTTCATCACCATCTACGTGTGCTCTCGTGACGGACTGCCGCCTCTGTCCGAGAGGAACCTTTTCGTCGAGCCGACTCGACTGCCACTGTTCTTCGGCACAGCGCTCTACTGCTTCGAAGCAATCGCTATGGTGCGCACCACGAAGTACCCTCAAGATAGTTAATTGGTGAAACAACGCTAAAAAGTAGCTCTGCTTTATGTTTGCAGACAATGCCACTTCGGAACGAAATGCGACGCCCCAACGATTTTTCTCGCCCGCTTGGAGTTCTTAACGTTGGCTCCGTCTTCGTCGGCCTCCTGCTTGTAGTCGTGGGAGTCATTGGCTACATGAAGTATGGCGAGGACGTCAAGTCCATTATACCGCTCAACTTCGACCAGGCAGATGTGTAAGAAGCAGAAATCTTTCGCTACATCATATTGTTGCTGTTTCCCGAGATAAATATTTCTAACAGCTTGTTCACTGCAGGCTTTGTCAGGTGATCAAGACTGGGATCTGCGTGGCGATCCTGTTGTCCTACCCCATCCAGGCGTACGTGCCGTTCGAGATCATCTGGCCGAGCATCGAAAGACGGTTCCAGCCCCTCAAGCACCCCGTGGCCGCCGAACTGACTTTCCGCTTCGCCATCGTCCTGTTCACGTGTAAGACTGGATGAGTCTGCGGCTCACCTCGCCCATAACGCCCGAGAGGGCGGGGTAGGCAACCATCCAAGCACGCGTGCACGCGAGTGTGGATGTTGCCTACCTCAAGGGGCCGAAGCTCGAGTCATGTGCAACAGCGCAGCGCCGAGGGCTTGCCCAAATCGGCTCGAAACTAATGTTTTTACCATAGTGTGTACGTGTGTGTGCGTGTGTGTGTGTGTGTGTGTGTGTGTGTTTGTTTGTGTGTTTGTGAGTGAGTGTATGTATGTTTTGCCTCTAATTACTCTGAACGCTCTCCGGCCGGCAGTTTTCTCGCCGTGAGCTTCGGGAGTGGACCGGGGAGAGTGGGGTGTCACAGCTACAGCGACAGCGATCGACCTGTCACACGCGTACGCGGTTTTACCGGCTATATTATCGTATAGGGAACTGTCCCGTTATAATTTTGCTAGAACGACCACAACCTTTGTAGCCAATCGTTTCGTTGGGAGTGACGCAGAGAGGTGGTTCGGAACTAGCCAATCAGCGCAGTCCCGCCGGTCGAGTCGAACTGCTGCCCGATCTAACGTTTCGCAAAAATTAAACTGATCTGACGTCACTGCCACAATCCTCTCTGCTTATTCGCTCGTTTTCCAGGGGTGCGCATAACTTTTTGTTGAGCTCAACACTGCAACCGTACGTGAGAATGTATGTGTATGTGCGGCTCTCGGGCTGGCCGAGCCGCGGAGTTCGATGGGACCGACGGGACACCTAACCTATCTAACCTACCTCAACGAGCCTCTGTTGCCCGGGTGTTGCAGTCCTGCTGGCCGAGTCCATCCCGCGCCTGGGCCTCTTCATCTCGCTGATGGGCTCCGTGTCCTCCACCATGCTGGCCCTCATCTTCCCGCCGCTCATGGACTGGAGCTGGCGCTGGGGCGACGGCCTGCCCGTCTGGCGCCACCTGGTCAACGCCTTCCTGCTGCTGGTCGGCATGTTCGGCATGGGCTGGGGCGCCTACGCCGCCATGGCCGAGATCATCATTGCCTTCGCCAATGGGGAGGTGACGGCCGACTAACATGTGTGGCGAACGGCGAACGTGACCGCCATACGGCCACAATCAAATGTGAGACTGCTATACTAAATAACATCCTGTGACTCACGTTAGATAGTCGTCCCACTGGCTGTCACTTTGCGCTTTGGGTTTCGGCCTATGAGCGTTCTGATTGGCTTAGAGGGCGTTCGGGTAGACCACGTGACCTTCTCCGAAGCGCAAAGAAGCCGTGAGTCGACTATGACCAGCCTAAGGTCCCACTTGGTCCCACTTCTCGCAGCACGGGCAGCATAGGCGGTTACAGGCGAGAGGGGGTAAAGAAAAGTGTGGCCTTAGTCTGGTCTGCCTATAGCTCCACATTAGCTAATGTGAAGCACTACTCTCTTCATTACATTAGGTAACGAGAGGCATCTTGCCTTACATTAGCTGAAGTAAAGTAGACTCACACTAACGTGCACACTGGAGTACCACCATCACACTGAAAACTACCTAAAAAAGGAAGCCCCAAGAGAACCGAAAAATATAATGTTCCTGACCCACAAAAATAATTTAAATGGCAGAGCTTTGAAGTGTCATCTGAGAAGAAGGGCACTGTACAGAAAAACCGATTTTTAAGGAAACAATTAACTGTTATATTTGTACAAACCAGTATTAAAAACAATGTTTTACAAAGGTTTACATTTTTACAGACCCATATTTCTTCTTACTTTGTACAATTCAGTATTAACAGTTTAATCAGGTAATATATACAATTTACACAATTCAACAATAAGACTAGGAGCGTATTTAAGACTGGATACTTTTATGGCAATTTATTACACAGGGAAGTTATCCAGAACTCTGTACACAATAAAAAATATACACACAATATAATTCATTTTATGCACGTTACTTTTGACTAGAGCTGATGATTTTGTCTTAGGAAATAAGACATCTGGTTGCATGTTTAACTAGCTATGATAGAAATCCTGATAGTTTTACTTTTAGCATAAATTTTCATGGATTATCTTGTATTGAAGTATTACTATAAAGTATGTCTGCTGATTCAAATTACATTTTTAGTACCTACATTACTCAATCTACTTCATCTTTCAATTTGACTAGGGAAATCCAGGATTAGGATAACTGTTTCCTAAACTGATACTACACACACAAATATGACATCTATCATACCGAACTTCAAAAAGATAAACTTGTTTGGTCTACTGACCATTCCTGCAAAATACAGTCATACAGTCAACCTACCTTCAAAATCTGTACCAAAGGCATCATACAGAAATGAGACCCTTGACCCAAACCTTGAGCAATAGGCAATGAAAAATAATATCAAAGCAATAACATAATATTGTTTTGGCAATTCTAATTTCTAATCTCTGAGCGGTGATGATGTGTGACAAAAGGCATAATCATTATATTGAGGAGTTCTTAAGAATGCCAATCCAGATTGAAGTTGTGATGGTGGAGGGTGAGGTGGCAAGTTCTTGCTGGATCCATTATTGCGGCCCTATAATGAATAATTTATTTTAAAAAAATTAGAATTTTGTCTTTGTGCAATGTTTAAGTCATGTGGAAATGTCCACACATACCTTAAGCCACTGCTGTCCTTTTAAATTGAGAGTTGTTGCTGTCCGCTTCTGTCCTAAGCTTCTAGAGATATCTGAAATAAAATATCAAGATATAAAACCTTTTGCTAGAAGAATTTGGAAAGAACTTGGTGTTTTACCAATAAAAGTACATACCATTCTGCTGGTAAGTGTCAGAATAATGTCCATCTCTAGGTCTTTTAGTTTGTGGAGTACAAACTGTTGGTCCACAGCTGCGACTCCAGCTCTGTAAGATTTAACAATTATTTGTTAGTCAATAAATTTAACTTCTTGATGTAGAAGATAAACAAGTAGAAATGTATTCAGACAATACTCACTAGAGAAGGAAAAGGCAGATTTGATGGAGGAGCAACACGGGAAGGGGCTGCTTTGACACTTTCTACGAGAGTAGTGGTTGCATAAGCCACTGTACTTCCAGATCCATCAGAAGCTCCACTACCACTGCCACTGCCACTACAGCACTGACTAGTTGACTCATAGTCACATCCACAGCATCCCCCTCCCTCACTGTACTCTATCCCTCGGCAGCCACTGTGAGGACGACTGTGGTGCGAGTGAGGGTAAGGGTGACTGCCATGTCCATGGAACGTGCTTAAAAGAGAGTATTTGCTTTTCACCTCTGCATACTCTGAATTTCCAACTGAACCTGTAAGTAACAAATAAGTTATTTCACAAAATGAAAATATCTGCCAGTGGATTTGAAATATTATAAACAAAAATATTCCTTCTCCTACCTTGACAATCACTCCGTAAAGGTCTTGCCTCCGCATACTCAGGTCCACTTATGGAGCCACCACCACTTAAAGTAGTGTTTGTACCCCAAACCATACGTGCCCCAGGTCTTGGAGCAATGCAAAGGGGAGCACCTTCAACCTCCACTTCTGCTTCAGCTCCTTTAAGACTCAAAACACCACCATTGGATCGCGAATCTAAGATACAAAAATAAGAGTAATGTTATATAAAAATGCTATTTGTTAACATTTGTACTGCTATTCTGCAAAGAGTCTGTGTCAGGAAAATCAATATCAAAAAATCTTACCATACATATGAAGGTGTGGATATCCTCCCTTCTTAGCTCTGTGTTGCCTTCGGTGAAGGAACAAAATTGCAGAAAACAATAAAACCATCACAGCAACCATGCTTCCAAGCAAAGCCATAAACCAGGTCTCTGTCACCAAGTCATTGTTATTGCCACCAGTAGATACTCCGGGTTCTCGATGAATTGTGGGATGATTATTAGAAGAAGGGGTATCAGTTGTTTCACTATTAGTGATTTGTCTGCAAAAAAAAATAATTGAGATATGAGATGGGGTTGATAGCTTATTAAGATTGTGCCAAAACAGAATTCAGCTGTGTCAATTACCTGCTACCACCTGCTGGAGATTGAAATATAATCGGAGTGCTAAAAGGTCCACGACCAGCAGAAGTAGCAGCAGCGACTATGACATGATATGTCACTTGTTGAGAGAGATTTGACAAAAGGAGTTGCTGAGATCCTGTTGGATCAGCATTCAATGTAACATTGCTGAGAAGTTCTGGGGGATCGCCACCTTTCACCACAACCTACAGGATATGAAATAATTGAAATGCCATAAGCAAATTTGATAGAAATACATTTAAAAATCAAACTTAAAAGTTTAAGAGACTATTACGAACCTCATAGCTTTCAATGAGACCATTATGAGAAACAGCTGGAGGAGGACTCCAAGTGATTGAAACTGTGCTAACGTTCAGGAAGTGAGCCTCTAGGTGTGCTGGTGGTGCCGTTGGAGCTATAGAGAACAAGGGATTACATTAGACATAAAACCTAATTTCAAAATAATTAAAGGTCAGGTAAAAAAAGTCTTACCATCGGCCAAAGTGCGAGCTCCTTGAATGTTTGATGGCCTTCCTTCACCAGCGTTGTTAAATGGCACCAAGAAAAATTGGTACTTTGTGTAGCAGTTGAGGCCTGTCACTATAAATCCAAGTGAAGGCGGACCAGATTGCAAAACAGATAACGTGTGAAGCGTGTCTTCATTTACTGAACGCCAATAGATGCTCAATCCAGACATCTGATCAGGATCAAGAACCTGAAAATAAATAGATATTAAATACCCTAAATAGTTAAATGAGAGATTGTAATTAATTAGAAATTATTTTTTTAACCTACCTCCCACAGCAATTTTACTGATGAAGCAGAAACTGGAATGACTTGACTCAGTCGTACGACAGGGCCATCTTCCACAGAGGCATCCTCTTCAAGATCTGATTCAAAATTGGCCTCAGCCTCATTCAGGGGTAGAACTATTGGAATTGTCAGTTCTGATGGCTGGGAGAACCCATTCGAGTTTTCAGCTCTTATAACAAACGAGTAGGCTACACCTGGTATCAAATCCTTCTGAGTGTATGTTGAAGATGGAACTCTCTGTGCCACAACTTCCCATCCGTCTTTCTCAGGTCCAAACATTTCCACCTAGAAATTTCATTCAAAAATCCATCAATCCAGTGCAGGTAGGATATTATAAGATCTGGTAGAGGAAAGGGTTGCTTACCTGGTATCCAATAAGAGCAGAGGATCCTGCTTTGTTGTTCCGTCTCCAAGCCAGTGTTATGCTAGTGTTTGTGCTACTGACAACATGAGGACGGCTCGGGGGTCCTGGTGGAAATCCTTTTTTCTCGTTTTTGTCAGGCATGGAACTTGAGAGAGTCAGCCACGCAGAAAGTGAAGAATGCCCTCGTTTGGAAGAGGCGACACATTTATACTCTCCACTATCCGACAATTCTGTAGCTGTTTAGATAAGAAAAATGTCAGGATAATATGACAGAAATATCTCAGTTTGATATGGCCTACATAAGGAGAAAAAGCTATCTCACCTTGAATAGACAATGAACCATCGGCCTCGATCTTAATTCTTGGACCCTTTCCAACCAGGGGTTTGTCATCTTTGAACCAGGTGATAGTTGCCTGTTGCTTCCCAGAAGTTGTGCATGGCAGGACGACCGACGACCGCAGGGGCAGCGTCTGGTTGCTCGGGCCATTCTCAATGACTGGTGGGGGAACTTCGTCGTTACCAAGTACGAGGAGTCTCGTTTTCGCCACCAGTGCGCCCGCCGAGTTCACCGCAGAGCATATGAGAACTGCACCTGTGTCAGCTCGTGTCAGATTCTAGAAAATAATTTTAAAAAACACACACTATTAAATCTTGGAAAAAATATGTAACAATACATTTGTGAATCTAAAGAATGCACGTTTTATTTCAGCCGGCGTTAAACGGTACTGCTGCACACTTACCCGGACGGTGAGGACAGCGGTCCCCTGGGGTGAGCGCTCCACGCTGAAGCGGCCGGCCGTGGTCCCCGGGGCGAGCAGCGACCGGTTGCCCTTCAGGGCCCAGAAGAGCGAGGGGGCAGGCGAGCCCTGGGCGCCGCACTCCACCACGGCGTCCCCGCCCTCCTCCACGGTCACGAGCCCGGGCGGCGACGTGCTGAGCACGGGCATGGCTGGAAACACACCAGGGTTACATCGTCACACAGAGAACCAAAGTCTCGGTCAGATTCCGAGTTTTAAAAAGTAGGAAAAGTTACGGGGACTCGGCCAAAAATGATCGTCGGACACCATGCGTAGCTTTGGGATCCCTTCAGCTCACAAGGTTCACGCCACTGCCCAGCACGGTGAGGGGGTGGGGTGTATACTCACATATGACGGTCAGGGTGGCGGCCGCGTTGAGGGCGCCCGCCTTGTTGTCCGCCTCGCAGATGTACTGGCCGGCGTCCGACAGCTGCACGTTGGAGATCCTGAGCGCGCGCGCCTCCGTCACGTGGACGCGGTTGAGGGGCATGGCGAGGCCCGCGGGCGGCGCCCCGCTGGGGGCAGCGGCGGCGGCACCGGCTCCGGGGGCGGCTCCGGGGGGCGGCTCGCTGCTGCGGCGCCAGAGCACGTCCGGGGACGGGTCGCCGGTAACCGAGCAGGGGAACTCGACGTCGGTGCCGACCAGCGCCGTCGTGTCCTGCGGGCCCTTCTGCAGCGAGGGCGGCACCGCCACCTGCACCAGCACGTCGGGCGCCTCGCGCACCCCGCCCGCGTTCTGCGCCACGCACTGGTAGCGGCCCGAGTCGGCCGCGCGCGCGCCCTGGATGGCTAGGTTCGCGCCGTCCACTAGCCGCACCCTGCAAAAGAGGAGGAACGCGTCAGAGGGCGAGGACAATAACCGGAGAAGTGAGCGGGTTATTTCCCTCGTCGCGCGTTAGCTCTGCGCGCCCGCGGAGAGCGAGAGAGCGCCGCGACGGTAGGCAGCCCATCCGACACTCCCGCAACGCCGCTCACCTCTTGTCGGCGGTCGGGTCGACGCGGCGGCCGTCCTTCTTCCAGAAGACGGTGGGCTCCGGGCGGCCGCGGGGAGGGCCGCACTGCAGCAGCGTCGTCTCCCCGGCAGACACGAGCTGGGAGGTGGGCAGCAGCCGGAAGTCGTGGCGCAGAACTGCCCGGAGGAAACAACAAAGGAAACCAGATTAATAAAAAGCGATGTGACAATTATGTTTTTACTTTACTCACAAAAATAAAAACAAAATACTAATGAGCGCAACGAGATTTTGACGGCGTTTTCCAACGCCAGGCCGGCCACCTATTTTGCTTGCCGCTATCCACGGTAAATCGCGACTGAAAGTAATGAGGGGCAGTGCATCAACGAGAGGGGCCGCTCCCGCTTGGAAAAAGTGGAGAGGGAGTGGGCAGGGCAGGACATAGCCCTTTTTCATGCTGCCCTTTTCATCCGCATTCTATCGACTGCTGCTGGCCGGCCGCTGGTTGAACCACGTCAATTTATATTTATTAGAATGTACATATATACGATACATGTATCTATATATATTTTAAAAATGTGGTCAGACAGTGAGAGGGAAGCGGGACAAAAAAAAAGGGAAGGGTGAAAGGGGAAATACAGAGAGGTGAGGGTGTGTAGTAAATCAAAATAGCCGTGGCGTGGATCGATCCCCTATATCTCTGCAAGTTCATTTCGGTCAGTGCGGCTGACCAACCAGCCAGTACCATAAATCAATATGGCAGAGCAGAAATAATAAAGAGATATCCGATTACATTTCTGTAAATTTGCACTCTTCTCTCCCTTCCCCGAAAAATGAAAATAAAAACAAAAACAAACAAGGTCCGAGCGGGGTTATGTCATCGAGAGTGGTCTAGCCGTCGGCCGTCGGCAGCCGCCGTGCGCCGCGCGGGTATGCACGCCGCTCGCCCGGCCTGTCCCGCGGGAGGGCATCGCCCCGCTGCCCGGCGCAGCCCGGCAGGCGGTAGTGCATCCACACCGGGCAGCGAGTGAGAGCGAGAGCTAGAAGAGTCCGCGCTAAAAATGATCGTATACTGAAAGATTTGCAGCGCTGCATGGAATTTGGTCGTAAAACTGGTAAATAAAAATCTTTTGATTTTAATAAATGCATCTACGTGGGTAGCCTTTTGCACAGTGCAGTTACCTTTATCAAAGTGTCCAAAATCTTTCGATTTTAACGAAATTGTTAAGGGGCGCGCCGAGAAAAAAGGAGCCCGACCCCTTAAAATGGTGCAGTTTAATTTCACTTCACTTTGATACCGTAGGTCTCCATCCATAACTGTATGTACTCACATGCGACCTCGAGGGTGGCGTCCTTGGAGACGGCCTGGCCCGCGCCGTTGGAGGCGACGCAGCGGTAGACGCCGGCGTCGGCGGGCTCGGCGCGGAGGAAGAAGAGGTTGCCGCCGGGCAGGAGGACGCGGTGCAGGCCGGGCCCCGCCAGCCGCTCGCCGTCCTTGGTCCACGACACGTTGGGCGCCGGGCGGCCGTCCGCCTTGCAGCTCAGCGTGACCGGGTCGTGCCGGGGCACCACGGCCGACACGGGGTGCTCCGTGATGCGCGGCGGCCGGCCGTCGTCGTACCCGCCACCTGCGACAGGGAAAACAAAACAAACGAGTCAGGAAGGTATTTTGCGCGATAGCAGCGTCTCCAAGTCCATGACTTCCATGAATATTTCTATGGTGGATTTGTCATGTATCGCGTTTAAAAAGCTCTGGTTAACTGCGCCAGTAACCTCGACTTATGTCCTAGCAGAGGAGCCGAGGCCCGGCAGAGGGTTCGAGCAGACGGCAGGCGGAGAGAGACAAAGTGAAAGAAGCAGTAGCAGCACAGCAGCAGCAAAACAAACCCCGGCACCACCGCCGTCCGAGCCCCCTATATCTTTCTAATGGGCTGTGAATCTTTAAAGGCGAAGTGGGGCGGAGCGCGCGGGTCAGGTACCCCTTGGTACCCACTGGTATATCCTTCCTCTGAGCACCCGCCTGTGCGGCGCCACAGGCGCGGGCGGGTCCACTGACTGTGGTCCACTACTGTGGGGGGCGGCTGCACGACAAGGCTTCGGGCGAGGCAGCTGCTCTGCTGCGAGCGCCGAGCGAGCGCCCAGATAGTAGAAAGAGAGCGGGGAAGCTAACAGGAAAAGCGCCACACAGTATCGTTGTCGCTTGCAGTGCGAGCAGCAGGGGCCGGGGCCCAAAAGAACCAATCTACCTGTGGATAGGAGGATGCAAGCAGTACGTAGGTGTTTTTCTCATGACACACTGCGCACAGCCTTGAGTCCCCGCCACCTCTGCTTCCAGACAGACCAGACCGGTCGCTGGTCTCGGGGACACTTCGCCGTGAGCTGAGGCTATCCCCTTTTTTTCCCCGCCTGTCCCGTCTTCTTCGCGTCTCGGCCCGCACGCCCTAAACTCGTGCCGCGCTCCGCTGGGCGCAACTGATTGACTTTGAAATGAGCTGCGCTTTTTGGCGGGTCCTGCGCCGCCAGCAGCGCGCTGCCCATAACGGGGGACTCTGTTGAAAAAGAAAGTTCCGTCAAGTTGACGGATCATGAAAGCAGATGACACACAAATTTGAGACGGCAGTGTCTCGCTTTGTCCTGATTTACCCAGACATGTTCAGTAGGAATGTCGTATGCAATGCATGGTTTTCTTAGTTTAAAACTAAAATGTGTCATCAGCTAAAATATTTCCTCACTGCTTCAGAAAACGACGAGAGCGAACGAGCACGCGTTCGGCATAGGGGACCGGGGGGGGG